GCTGGCAAATTAAAAAGCAGGTGAAACCAAAACCTTCTTTTTTTTTTTTTTTTTTTTAGTTTTGCACAGTTAGTAAATGGAAAATACGATTAGAACACGCTTCAGCTTTTTATTGCTGTCTGTCAAAAGGCGAAAAGATAGTGCTGGGCTTTCTTATTTGGTGCCCAGTATGATATTTAAGTAGATTGCCATGGCTACAACCATAAATACAGGGGCGTCCCGAGCCTTTTACCACCTGAACTGGTGGTGGGGTTTTGGTGGTGCACTCTAATGGGTGGGGGTTGTTCTGGTGGTGCAAACAAATGTATAGGAGGTGTTGGGGGCGCATGATGCCGGTGCAGTGATGCAACTGGTTGCCCGGAACTGAGCAGGATGCCGACCAGGGCATCCCAGGTTGCATAGAGCTGGGAGGGGAGATATGTATGGCCTTTACACATCTGCCCACCAGGCTCTTGGCAAACTGGGACACTCTGGCTGGAGATGGGGCAGCAGGCACACTCCAAACATTGTGCAGCAATGCCGCCCCCCCACCTGACCCAAAGAGATGCTGCCTGAGGCAACAAACTCAGGCTGCCTCATTATAGTGACGACTCTGCAAAAAATCATTGTATAAAGCTGGCCACGCACCTAATGTTGGGCTGAAAGAGAAAAAAACACTTGATTCCCCCTAAATAGCGTGGATGGCAGAATCTTCCCTGCAGGACTTTTGCATTCTGACAGCAGCAGGTATGCCAATATCCGAATACCTGAACAGTAAGTGCTGGTTCACACCTGACCGTTTTGTAGTGCGTCCTACGCTCGATGAACGCACTACAAAACGGACCAAAATGTAAAAATCATTGAAGTGAATGGTATAGTTCCCACTTGTCCGTATTTCCGTCCGTCCCGAACGCACTTAGGCTTAACTGGGGCAGATGAGCACCCCTGGACCAGACAGATTGCATTCAGGGCCGGTCATCTGTCCCTAGCTGCTGGTAACCGCAGGATGTGCACATACAAATAGCACTGGACAGATGTGGCTCCTGTGAGCCGGTCATTTCTTTGTATAGGCTCGGGCTGCAGCTCGTTCACAAACCCATGTGAATGAAGCCCTTGAAGTACACACCAAATCAGTCTTGGAAAGAAATCCCCCTGTATTGTTTCATTTATACTGTATTATTGGGATTTGTTACTTTGAAATAACATGGACATTACATGGGAAATAGTAATAAGCAGACTGTGGCTATGCCAAATGCACATTTGTATAAGCTTTAGGAAACTAGAATGGTAATCAATTTTCATATGAAACTGCAAAGCAAAGCCACTATGTATATGTAGTGTCAGACTCCTCCAGTTATAACTTCACATACAGAAAGGATTTTGACACTCCGAACATCTGTAGGAAGTACAGCCATAAAAAGTGTACTCATGTCACCCCTTCCCTCCCTTCCATAACCTGTCCCTGGGTCACCTTGCCATAAATATCTATATGATCTCTATGGAAATGAAGCTATAGAAAGTGTACTCATGTCACCCCTTCCCTCCCTTCCCTTCCTTCCCTTCCATAACCTGTCCCTGGGTCACCTTGCCATACATATCTATATGATCTCTATATAGACTGTATATTTTAGACTTTTCTCCAGCTACTGACAGAGTGACAGTCCTAATAATTTGAAAAAAAACATTGCTTTGGGACAACCATTTGGCCAAATGTGAGGTTGTAGTCATTTTCCAGAATTTAGGGATTTCCAATCTAGCAGCAGTAACTATAAGCCTTGTTCTGAGCTTGAATAAGAACGCTGGAATCACTGGTCCCCAGAGTCCTAATAAGCCCCCATGGATCATAGCTCTGTTTGTAGGGACTGCCATTCTTCAAGTATAAAGGAACAGATAATCCAGGGGTGGACAAAATTATATAGAATTCAGGAGCCAGTCTGTCCAATCCAGGAGCCAGCAGGACTTTTTTGTTTAGGAACCAGCTCCATTGACAACAACCAGAGAAAACCACAAAAGTTGGGCAACGGCTGTCATTTTTCAAAAGCATTGGCAACCTGGCTCCCGAGATTTGTCCAGCCCTGAGATAACATAAGATTGGCGGTTGTTGAGGAATGTAAATTGTCACACGTGACGACCTATTTTTCCACATCATATGTCAAATAATTATGACACAGTGCAAATCATTTCTTGGGCGCGCAGTAGAATGTGTAACTGTCATCTCGCTGCACTAGTGCACACCTCTGTATTGGCACTGGTATTCTGAACTGTTATTTATTTGGTGCAGATTTAGTTACTAGGCAAATAAAGCTTGAAAACTGCATGTTTTTGGGCCGTTTTCTGCATGTTTGTGAAGGGCTTCCATTGAAGTCTGTTGGGGCCAAAGTACTTGACTCTGCTCTAAGGCCGTGGTCACACCATCTCCAGACCAGCTCTGGATGAGTTTCTGCAAACGCGGTCATGTGCATTTTTCATGTGTTTTTGAGTCATTTTTTGTCTCAGTTGACTTTGTAATGCGTTGCAGTGCATTCTGGTGCATTTGCATGGGTTTTGGTGTGCTCCAGACCAAAGAAAATAGGGCACGCTGTGTTTTTTAAAATGTTTTGGAACGGATTGCAATGATGTGAACTAGCCCCACTTTTTACCATAGGAATGAATGGGGATTAGGGTTGCCACCTCTTCTTCCAGTGAAACCCGAACACTCTAGCGATGCATGGAAATGTTTTTGGGAGAATGTGTCACAGATATAGACACAGACACGTACATAGAATTCAAAACCCGGACTGTCCGGGGGAATTCTGGACAGGTGGCAACCCTAATGGGGATTCATATTTGGACCAGACAAAATACTTTCTGGTCTGGACATGGTGTGAATTTGCCTAAAGAAGCTCATTACTTTTTTGAGCTACAGGTGTTTTGCTACAAGTGACAGAACGCTCAGATGCAAACAGGGGCCAATAGAAACATAAATACAGCAAATTTTTCCCCTTTAGCTTTAAAGTACAGTCTTTAAGCATTTGCTGCACTGTAAATGGCGGGTTACAGCCAGGCAAAGAAGAGCCAGCTGTTAGAGGGGATTAAGTCAGCAGGGAGACTGGCGTGAGACCCTACCACGGTGGACCCATTCGCATCCCTCACCTTTTACTGTATCCTAGCAACGGACCGCATCCCGCTGCCAGGTTATGCTGCATAGGTTGGTTGGACAGTCTTACTTTAAACATTGTTTTCATTCCTGAATACTTCTTGCATGTTGCTTGGAGTAGAAGGTCTACTTGCCTGGATACATGTACCATTCCTGCCATTTAAACCCATTTTATTGCTGAACTCTTGGTAGCCATGATGCTGATTTTATGTCCCTATTTGAAAAGGTAACAGTTCATTGCGCCCTGGAAAGACACTGCCCAGCTGATAATAGAAACGAGTGTCTTTGTATACATTATTATATTATTACATGGTTTGTATATAAATTATTATACTGGATTTATATCGCGCCAACAGTTTGCGCATCGCTTTACAATATAAGGAAGACATTACAATACGATTCAAGACATGATGGTACGTAGTCATCAGTATAAAACGATGACATAGTACAACGGTGTCTCTAGGGCTGCAGCTAACGATTATTTTCATAATCGATTAGTTGGCCGATTATTAAGTTCGATTAATCGGTTAATCTGCGGCGGCCTGTGCGGTGGACACGTCGGGAGCAGCGTGTGACGCGTGACGTGCGACTCAGGCCGCGTGCGGAGCCCCGAACAGGCTAAGCAATCGATAGCCGACGAATCGACGATCGAAAACGTTGCCAACGTTTTCAATCGTCGATTTTAATCGACTTAATCGATTAACTGTTGCAGCTCTAGGTGTCTCTGCATAGTGAGATTGCAGACTGGCACCTAATGCACAGCAAATGGCACCACCGATATCGCTGTATTGCAAACCATATGACTCCATTGATACTGGTGCTCGTATCACTCTATCATTCCGATAACAGCCCATTTACCTGTTCTAGGGATGGCGATTCCTTTTTACTCCCTTTTAGTCACGTTTGACAAGAAACTGAGCCCGTAATCTTGAGAAAATAAGGCAAGTTTTTGTAGCGGAGTGGTGGAATGTCCTGGTTTCTCCCTGTGCATATAAAACGATTACTTATTTATCAGATGCCTGACCCAGGGAGTTTTTAATCTGTTTAGCAAATTCCAGTATGACCGCAAAGTGTGGCTGAGATAACTCACTTGGGGGGGTGTTAACCCATCAAATGACAGATACTGATGCAAATAAAGTATCTTCAAATGAAGGTATGTAGGTAATTCCTGGGCTTTCCCTGTATTTTTATAGTGTACATGGGCTGTAGAAGGAGTCTGACTATTTCAGTATATTAGAACAAGGACGTGTGTGGTAAAATGTTGCATAAATTCATGATGGTACCTTATAGAAGAACACCGAGGACTAACTTCTATGTTTATTTGCAGATCCTCCAGTGGCGGCGGCAGTGAGATCTGCTTTTCGAGACTGCACAGATGCCCACAACGACTTCTGCTTCCACGGGACCTGCAGGTTCCTAGTGCAAGAGGCCGAACCATCCTGCATGTAAGTCATCATTATGTACCCAGCTCCCAATATTACCAAGGCTCATCTGAGCAAGCTTCATGTGACATATGGAACGCTGCGACTGATACAGTTTTCTTATTGGTTAGGGTACTCAAATGTATTTTTAAGATCTAAATAGGGATGCACTGATACTGGTATCAGTGCCGATACTGAGCATTTGGCCGTGTAGTCATACTCTTCCAAATGCTCCGATACTTACCCCGATACCGAAACTTCCGGTAAGAGGGAGCATGGAGCTGGCTTCCTGGCCAATCAGGAAGCCGGGTGGCGGGTCATGACTCACCTCCAGGCTTCCTGATTGGCTAGGAAGCTGGCTTCATGCTGCCTAGCGACACTGCAAGGCAGTCTGGCTTCCTGACCCCGATAGCGGAACTTCCGGCCAGAGGGAGCATGGAGCCGGCTTCCTGGCCAATCAGTAAGCCGGGCGGCACATCATTACCGGCCTCCCGGCTTCCTGATTGGCTCGGTAGCCGCCTGCACACTGCCTATCGACACTGCTGCTTCTCCTTTCACTGTCCATGATAGGACATCAGAGTGACAGAGAAATTAGCTCATCAGTCTGCTGCTTCTCCTTTCCCTGTCCAGGATAGGACATCAGAGAGATGACCTCATCAGTCTGCTGCTTCTCCTTTCCCTGTCCAGGATAGGACATCAGAGTGACAGTGAGATGAGCTCATCAGTCTGCTGCTTCTCCTTTCACTGTCCAGGATAGGACATCAGAGTGACAGTGAGATGAGCTCATCAGTCTGCTGCTTCTCTTTTCACTGTCCAGTCACAGGCTGGGGGAGGAACAAGACCTGTAAGTGTTATTTAACTACTCTCTATCTCCTCCTTAAAGAAAAACTCTGGTTAAAATTTAAATTAACCCTTGCAGTGGGGCTACCCCCGCACTGCAAGGGTTAACTGCTCGATTTTTAACTAGGATCAAAAATAACAATGTTGTTAACGTTGTACTCACCTGATCCCCAGAGCCGGCCAGCTGTGACAGCGCTCCCTCCAGCCTGTTTCTTCCTCCGCTGCAGCGATGGTTTGTCCCTTGGCATACTCACATTCAATACACTGTGTATAGAACGTGATGACTCGGGAACCTTAGACTGCTGCAGAGGAGGGGGAGAGAGGCTCCAGGGACCCGTCTAAGAGCGAGCCGGGTTGGTGGATGGGCTGAGTATAACTTTTTATTTTTATTATTATTATTTGACCCTAGGCAAAAATGAGCGCTTAACCCTTGCAGTGCGGGGCTAGCCCTGCAAAAATAACATTTTTAACTGGAGTTCTTCTTTAACTATCTCTTTCCCTGCTAGACAGGGCTGTGCTGTGTAATTGTCAGGACTGGATAGCCAGAAATACAAATCATGTGGCAGGTAAGAAGGCTCCTCCATGTGTATTTCACGTGTGTATCTACAGGTGAAACTCGAATAATTAGAATATCGTGCAAAAGTAATTGCAGTAAGTGCTGCAAAAGGGGCCCACACCAAGTACTGAGTACATATGCATGCTTGTACTTTTCAGAGGTCCGATATTGTTCTATGTACAATCCTTGTTTTATTGATTGCATGTAATAATCTACTTTTTTGAGGTTGTGGATTTGGGGTTCTTGGGGTTTTCATGACCTGTAAGCCATAATCATCACAATTATGACAAATCACGGCTTGAACTATCTTGCTTTGCATGTAATGTGTCTATCTCATATATTAGTTTCACCTTTTAAGTTGCATTAGTGAAATAAATGAACTTTGCACGATATTCTAATTATTCGGGTTTCACCTGTAGTGGTTTGCCTGGAGTTCAGCTTTAGGTATCAGAAGTTCTTAATGCTGTTGTAAGACGTTGCGTAGTAGTAGTGTTTTATCAGAAACAGTTGCCACTTTGATCCTTCATAACTCGTTCTCTAAGAATGTATTTGACGTACAGATACTGTGATATGACTTGCTGTGTCATAGGAATTTTCATGTATTCTCCGTCTGTGACCTGCTGTCATGAACTTCAAATCACATCTAATCTCCAGAATATCCCCAATAAAAAGCCTGACCTTTGATCCTCTCCAGTGCCCGGAGCTATGAAAGCTCACTTCTGATCAGGTTATATGAACTGCTATGTCATTCACTTGGCTGCTGTTGCAGTTGTTTGCATTGACGGCCTCTTTTGGATGAAAAACATAAGATGCGTTACGTTTATCTTTCACTTACAGGCAGTGTAGGCGGTGGGAGGGGATTATCCATGGGTGTACAACTGTATCACTTGTATTTATTATATACAAAGGTTACACATATTTCCATGAGGACAAACATTAAATATTGCGTATGAATTCATATTTCCAATTTGTAGCCAGCTGGTGGAACTCTAGGCTGCCTTTCTCATGTTAACCAGGCTACTCGTCACTGCTTTGCTGAGAAGAAAAAAAAAGGCTACCTGTTGAGTTTACTTTTGGTCTTTTTGTCTCTGCAGATGTATTCAGGGCTATGTGGGTACACGTTGTGAGCACGCCGACCTCCTAGCGGTGGTGGCAGCAAATCAGAAGAAACAGACCATCACTGCGCTAGTGGTGGTGTCCGTGGTAGCCACAGCTCTGTTGGTTGTTGCCTGTATATTAATGCAGTAAGTAAATCTCATCTATCTATTTCAATACTTCCATAAAACTACATTGTGCTTCCTGTCTGTCACCTATGTTTACAGTTGTATCGGAAAGAAACCCATTTTGTTGCACCTCTTTGAATCATTTGGCTGTAGTGCCTTAGTGTGGCCCCAGAGAAATCTCAGGAGGCAGGTGGATAGTAGGGAAGCACTGATACTGATACTATTATCAGTGCCGATACCGAGTATTTGGGCAAGAACTCGTACCTGCCTAAATGCTCCCGCTACCGGAACTTCTGGTATAAGGAAGCCGGGCAGCGAGTCTTTACACTTGCCCGGCTTCTTGATTGTCCAGAACACAAGCTCCATGCTTCGTCATCTACTGGTGAGGAGGGAACATGCCGCTCCAGGCAAACGCCTTGTTTGCCTCGCGGCAGATACGCCCCTGGGAACATGGAGACGGTTTCCAGGCCAATCGGGAAGCCGGGCGGCGTGTAACAACTCGCCGGCGGCTTCCTTATGGGTCGGGAAGCCGGGCAGCAAGTCATTACCAGCCCCCCGCATTCCTGATTGGCCAAAAACCACGTAGTGATGTGGGAGCATGGAGCCGGCTTCCCGGTTAATCAGGAAGGCGGGCCGCGATTCATTACACGCCACCTGGCTTCCTTAACAAGACTTCCGGTATTGGTATTCGGTATCGGCGAGTACCGGAAAAAATATATCGGTACTCGATACTAAAAAAACAGTATCAGTGCATCCCTAATAGGTAGTGTTTTTTCCTGGTGCCTAATGTTTGTAAGCCTTGGGTAGAGATACATGTCCCTTGCTTCTTAATAAGCATGTTGTCCTCTGTGTCTATGTGCACGGTATTGCTGTAGATCAGGGGTAGGCAAACTCTGGCCCTCCAGCTTTGGTAAACTGCGAATTCCATGAGGCATTGCAAGACTCTAAAGGCCACAGACAGCCTGGAGTTTGCCTACCCCTGCTTTGGATATCTGAAGGTTTTCATAGGCACTGACAGCTTTTTAATTGCAATCCCAGTAACAGAAATATAGTCACCCGAACTGCTGGCTCCTAGACCAGTCCCTTCAGCCTCGCTCCTCTTCTGCTCCAGCAATCTAAGTTCCCGTGAGTCATCACGTCCAATACAGTGTATAGGACATGAGGACGCCGAGGGACATTCCATCGCCGGAGTGGAAGGAGGAGACAGGCTGAGGGGACCTGTCTAGCAGTCAGTCAGGATCAAGGTTTGGGTGACCATATCTCTCTTATTTTAGCTCCCTAGGTAAAACGAGCACTTAACCCTTGCAGTGCAGGGGTAGCCTCTCTGCAAGGATAAAGATTTTATATGCCTGAAGTTCTTCTTTAAATAGTTCTCATGTTTTTATCCAATATGAGTCTCTCTGAGCTTTGCTAATCAACTCAATTAGACTATTTGTAGGTTATTAAGGTTTTCCCTCCTGCTTGCCGCTGACCAATAATGGCTCCCTTGTGCTTTGCAGCTGTTGCAGCTGGAGGAAACAGTGTGAGTGGTGTCGATCAGTTTTATGCCGACACGAGAAACCAGACGGCGTCTTCAAAGGAGGAGCATCATGCTGCAAGTCAGAGACAGGTAAAGTTCTCACACAGAGCGGGAGAATGATGGGGGTTATATGTCTGTGAAGGATTCTTATATATCCATTCCTGGGGTATGCTCCTGACCCCTATTAGAACTTTAGAAGGGACTCGTATATTCATCAAATCATCAACATGACAATTCCAGGTGACTGCGACTGATACTAGCGATGGGTGTTCTCCCATTTCATAGTGTAAAATAACCTACATTTTATAGTAACTGGGAGTGCGCAGGTGTAAAGTGACACTAACCTCAGGAGATAAACCTTAAAAATGCATTCAAGTATCTTAACTATGAACAGAAATGTCTCTTATTTCTGTATCACTCTGGTGTAGATTCTCAAATCATCTCTGAATTGGTGCCGACACTGTTCTTCCTTCTGGGGAGTGACTACTTTTGTTCCCCATAGTCCATGTGTGTGTTGTAAAGTAGTAACTGCTCCAAGCTCACTCCTGTGATGGATTACAATCTCATGTTTAGTTTACTAATTTGTATTGAGATTGTATTGTATAAGATTGAAGTTCAGGAGGCATTACAAAGACAAAGTCTTAAAGGAGAACTATGGGGTTAGGGCTATTCCCCATAGTTCTCCTTAGGGTAATGGGAGGACACAAACTAGCGTCCTCCCGTTACCCTAAGCTCAGTATACCGCGAGCTGTAGCTTGCGGTATACTGAGACGCCGCAGCTGAAGCGGATCCCGGCAATTAAGCCGGGATCCGGCCAGCTGCTTGACTGACAGCTGGCTCTGCCTATCTAGAGGCAGAGCCAGCTGTACCCGCCCCCTCCCCCGTCCGTTCCGCCAGTCAGCGCTGGCAGGGAGGGGGGAATCCAGCCCCTCCCCTGACACGGCAGAGAGCTGTGACAGGATCGAGAGGTGAGCGAACGCCGGTATGTTGTTCGTTCACCTCCCGATCTACTGAGCCGACCTATGACAGTCTCATTGTCACAGGTCGGCTAGAACTATGAGGTGAGTGAAAAACACTCACCTCATAGTTCTCCTTTTTAAGCTAACCATTCTCGTAGTGACTTCTCTGGTTAAGCCCAGCAGGCTCAAGAAGAGAAATCACTCAATTCCACAGCACCAATTGGACGAATCTCCCGCTGCGGCTATTACGCTTTGACAGCCAGCATTCGCAGCTGTCAGAATACATGAACAGTGACTACAGCTGAATGTCTGCAGTCAATGTCCGGCTGTCTTTTTTTTCTGCCTGCCCCCTTCGACTTTTTTATTGACGTTCGTCAAGCAAAGTGGTTCCGGCAGGGCCACCTACCGCTGGGATTTAGGCCAACTCCTGTTGAATTCAAGCCATTTATAGCCAGCTAAAGATAGTCAGTGGGTCTTGGGGGAGGCTGGGAATCTGAAAACAGGATGTGTGCCTGCTGCAATGGCCTTTAGTGAAAATTCAGAGGCACACAAGCGGGGTGGGGAAGGGAAGAAAATGAAGGAGCAATACAGTTTTTCACCAGTACCAGAGGCACAGGCAGGCTGGAGAGAAACAGATGGGGCTGGAGATATTGTAATGTGTATCTGAGCCATAACGTTAGTGTGGATAGAGTGGTGAGGGGTTTAGAAGCCCTGCCGGGTTTTATTGCTTATTTACTTACTTGGTCTGTTTTGGTGACCATAGTCTGTGGAACTCAAAGGGAAAATCCAAAGTTTTCAATTGTCACTGAAACAAGAATAGAGGGGAAATCTTCCAACTGGGACACTTGTACGGATGACAACCGTCTAAGAGTGGATTTTATGGGCTTTGAAGATATTTCCTCTCACTTCCTGTTGTGTCTACAGGACAGGGAGTAAAGGGAAAGCTCCCTAATTGGACACCTAAAGAAAAAAACACACAAGAAAAAACTATTCTAATACATCGGGGATAGCAAAACGTTGGCCCTCCAGCTGTTGTGGAAGTCCCATGAGACAATGCAAGACTCTGACAGCCACAGGCATGACTCCCAGAGGCAGATACATGATTGGATTTGTAGTGCCACCACAGTTGGAGGGCTAGAGTTTGACTAAGCCTGCAGAGGCATCCCCAGGCCGGGTGTCACGCCGTGTGGCCACTGGCCTGGGGACGTCATTACGCAGGCCCCTAATGTCCTTGCACACACACACACGTGATGTCATCACGCACGCCCCTAATTATGTCCTTGTGCGCGCACGTGACGTCATCACGCACAATAATGTCACGCGTCCTTTACTGCCGGTAGCCATCTTGGTGATGGATGCCGGCAAAGAGAGGGGAACGTTCAACCGGCAGGATAATGTATGCCACCGGGTCCCCTCCTCTCTCATGCCGCTGTCGGACTCTCGGTTAATGACTGAATGTCCAACTTTTCAGAGGGGGTGATGGCAAAATTACTGTCAGTTATTTTGCTGTGAACCCCTCTGATGGTGTCATCCAGTGCGGGCCACACCCTCCTTGTGACGCCACTGTATTATATCAATAAATAGGTTTACTAAGTTTAAAAAATGAGCACATCTGGCATCGGTTTCCCTTTACATTTTGTAGCACCTTTAACTAGCATATCACAGGCAGAAAAAAAGAGTTTTCCATGTATGCCGAATTTATTCGAAAACCGACATGACATTTGCCATACAGTGGAAAGTGGAAACAGGATGTTCTATAAAATGGAGCCTGGAAGCCTGGGAGGTTCATGGTTTAGGGGGTGAAAAGGGCAGCTTAGACCAAAAATCCATGGCGACTTGCCAAATGCAGTTAAAAAAGAGGTTACAGTATCCACAGGAGGAACGTTTAACTGCCGACGTGAAAATAACGCAGCCATTGTGAGGTCGAGTGAGATGGGGACTTGCACAAGGTTACTTTGTCTCTTATGGAAACATGTGGATATGTGGAAAGAGCCTCCCCGAGGCTGAGCCGCCGCATTCACACTAATGGTCAAATACATTTCGCTGTGATTTCATCTCTTCCTTGCATCAGCCAAGTCACACCTGCTGTTTTCCAGTTTAATGTAAAGATAAATGGAACAGTCACAACATGATTCACAGATCTGTCACCGTGTATTAAATGACTCCTGAGTCAGGAAAATATGTATCATTCCGTGTTAGCGGCTCCAGTCGCTTTTGTGGGGCTTTCATAACAACCGTTGCTGGCAGTGGTCGTGTATGACAGGTACACTTTACTAACAGGCAGTCTCTATGCAAAAGAGGGAAATGACTATAATCCGATAATTGCAGCGTTTTTCCCGTGAAGGCAAATGTAATGCAGGGCATGTAGGAGCCATTTTTTAGCATCAGGGAAAAGAAAAGTGTGCAAATATTTGCATTTCTGTCCCTCCCTCTCTCTAAACATACATATCTTTCTATCTTGTATTAATTATTCAGTGTGTACAGTATGTAAGCTTCTCTCTGTTTAAGAGCAGAGTGAAACTGGACAGAGATAGATAGCCACGTCTTCTATGCTGGTGTTTGAAAGTGCCTCCTGCACACCATACAGCGTGTGACCAGCGTAGATAAGATAGGTGCTGGTAGTGACCGCCACGGATGGCGCTGTGCGGAACCTCAGACATGTGAAGATCGGTCACCAGCACCCCAAAATGCAAAGCAAATATCATTTATTGCAAATACCGTCACACAGGCCAAAAAAGCCAACGCTACGGGGTCGCGCAGGGTCCCTTCCTCAAAGTGACACAGTAACCATCACTGTGTAGCCTTGAGGAAGGGACCCTGCGCTGTCCTGAAACTGGCTATTTTGACCTATGTGATGTTATTTCTAATAAACAATGTTTTCTTTGCATGTTGGAGTGCTGGTGACCTCTCTTCACATTTATATGATGATGGAACCTCTTGACCAAGGTGTTCTTTGTTTTACCATCTCTGTGTTCTTAAACTAAGAGCTGTTTTTAAAAAAACGCAGCTTAAGGAACCTATTGTATAGATAGGGAGACTTTGCTTCCCATGAGGAAACCTTCTCATCATTATTTACCAGTGCTATGTGCCCTGGCTGGGGGTTTGGCAGTTGTGGCATTTACCAATATGTTCTGAGTCTGATAGAGGGGTAGTTACAATACTAGAATGGTCCATTGAACTGCTTAGAATCACTTCGACTTCAGCTTTTAATAAATCTGATGACACACCTATGATGAATTTTCTATGTATTCTATACCAACGCTGGCCTTTAGTCTAGCCTACCTTACTATATGCACCAGCATTTTGTAATTGTATTGTTTGTAATTTTGTATTGTAATATTTCTACTTGTTTCTGTTTATAATAATATTTAAATTATTATTATTTATCATTATGATTTATCAATAATAATATTGTTGCCATTGGTTTTTATGCAGCCCTAATATGTGACCCTTATGAAATATGCCGTCATATGCTATCTCCATATACAGTATGAAAACACTTCCAGTTAATAAACCCAGCTCCAGGAAATGTTATGTTTTTGTAACCTGTCTTTGCAATATATGACAAAAGGTTTGTGCACACCTGACCATCACACTTATATGAGCTTGTTGAACATCTAATTTCAAAACCATGGTCATTAATATGGAGCTGGCCCCATTTGTGACTTTACCGGCCTCTACTTGTCTGAGAAGTATTTCCATAAAATTGTGTAGTCTTTGGGAATTTGTGTCTATTAGGACAAAATAGCATTTATAAGGCCTGGTACTGATTTTGGACAAGAAAATATAGCTCACAGTTGGCCTTTTAAAGTTTATGTCAAAGGTGTTCATTAGGGTTAGGGCCAGGGCTCTGTGAAGACCGATTAGGTTCCTCCACATCAAGCTCAACTTTATGGACCTGGCTTTACGGAATATAGACATGCTGGAGTAAAAAATGGGCCTTCCTTCCACAAGGTTGGGAATGCACAATTGCCTATACTGTCTTTGTATGCTGTAGAATTACCTGTACTAGTCACAAACATCTGAAATCAATAATCTGGAGAGGTGTCCACATAGGTTTAGTAACATGCAGGTGTGAGGGCCAGGTATCCACAAACTTTTGGCCAAATAAAGTATTACATAACGACTCCTAATTTTCTCTAATCCTTTGTCTTGCTTTGCAGTGGTCTGAGAGAGATTGCAACAGTCCAAAGGCAATTTCTTGGCAACAGAACATCACGGATCCAGTCTGCTCAACTTACATCTCAGACTACAGCTGGGGAGCATATTTTAACCGGACACATGTTGGGCTCTATGACGACACATGGGAACTCTCTATCCGGCGTCCCCTGCACAATGTGAAGCAGTGATCCTAGGAGGAGCTCACTTCACACTGGAAATTGAGAAATAATTGGATTCTAAGTAGTCTGGGTGATTCATGAAGTGCTACCAGCAGTGGAAGAACTGACCCTCTAAGTGTTGAGTTTATTTTCGTTACAAAAAGGTTGACTTTGGGTTTGATTGTTCTATGAATGCTCCATCTGTCGGGTGGATCTTCAAAACATTGCAAGTCAATGCCTTGTAGGCCTACCTGTTGGCAAAATGGGCAGAATATTCATATTTTATTTTATTCGAAAAGACTGCAAAAGTGTTGCTTTACATGGACCATTCTTTAATATACCATGCTGCTGGCATTTCAGTATACCGTACATAGATAAATATCTAGGGACAGCCTGGTGATATCCACAGGAGTAGAAAATCCATTTTGAGTTAATTGTTTGAAGAGCAGAAAGCTATTTTTATGTTTTAATCTCAAATTACCTAAGCAGTGCATTAGTATTAACCTTTCATACAACCTCTTAACTCGGTCAGACTTTTACTCACAGTTCTAGCTAAACTTAGGGGAAGGCTTTCAAAACTACGTTTAGTTCTATTGTGGAAATCCAGTCTCGCTGGGGCTGCCAGATGTGTTTCCCTTTTTTACACTTGTATATAAGTCCACAACAACCAGTGAATGATGACCAACTGGAATACTTCTTCTTCTAAGTCCATCATCTGGTCTCCTGCAGCATGTCCTATTTACTGCTTTGGATTGTCACACACTAAAAGGCTTTTGATTCCGACTTGGACATAGTGGACTTGGATGTTCTTCAGATCTTAATGCTTCATTGCTCGATTCCGTGCAGATTGCTGGGTGTTGGGTGGAAATCCTGCTACAAACTTCACTTCAAACTTAATTTGTATTGTTTGTAATATACATTACAATATTTTTTGCAGAATCCTGGTGATCCAGTGTCAGACTAACTATTGCAGTAGTAGTGCTGGTAGATGTGAATTTGTCCAAAGCCTAAACATAGTAGTGGTTAAACATTAATCACGCTCTGGAAGCGTGCGGCTGAAATGCAAGTTTTCTAAATGTTGGATTAGAATCCCAGCGTCATGGAAGAACAGGGTCATTTTTTAAAAGCAGGGAATTGTCCAAATGATTTAATATTTACTCCACGGCCTGACACACAAAGATAATTTGTCAGTACCCACCTCTTCTTTTGCATCAGTGTTTCCCAAGCATTGCCCAGCTAAATGACACCTATATTATTACAGATCGTCCCACCTACCTGCCAACGTCCAGTTAGGGACCTGTCTTCTCCAAATATCGACTATACAAGACCAGACAACACGTTTTTACTTGTGATGTATACCGATAGCTGACACTAGAGTTAAATATTGTCTTACAAGGCAGTTCTACACAAATACAGAGCTATATAGTGAGGGTGAGCACCACCAGTAATACCCATTCCAGACTTTGGGGAAACACTATACTACATTATGCTAAGTGAATAGAACAGCTTACACTGGCCAGAATAGAAGGCCTGTTGCATCATGATAAGGTCCTGCTCAGCTGCATCATGTTGAGAAGGAAGGTTCCAACATGGACCCAAGTTTTGTTAATTATTATATATATGTCACCAATAATCACAAATGTTTTTTCTATATGAAAAGGATTGTTCAGGTTTTTAAACTGTATTGGGATTATGTAACGCAATCCATTTAAATTCATATGGCGCTGAACAACATTCTTCTTTAAAGCTGTCCTTCCTTGCCTATACACCTATTGTTTAAACTGCCCCTTATAATGTGCTATTATAAAGAAAGAAACATACTCATATAGCAAACAACATAAAAGATATATGTTATCACGCCCACCCTTCCCCTTGGTGATTCCTCCACCTGTCATGTGTTGGTCCCTGCAACGCTATTTTCCCTATATGAAGATACTCTCCCAGCCTCCAGATTCTTGTTAGATGCAGTATTTTCCTATTAAGAGCCACAAATTTCTCACTACCAGGACATCACATCAGTGAAGAATAATGGAAGACATACGTGAGTGTTCCAATACCCCCATTAGGACTTGTGCATTGCCATAGTATGATGTTACCCGGTTGTAATAGGAAAGCCACTGAGTCTTGGAAAACCTGAGAGGAGACACAGCTTTCTAATTGCAACCAGAAAGGCTTCTGTTGTCTCTGAGAAAAGGCTGGTCACCTTTCTGTTAAAAATAACTGTACTCTTGTTAATTTTTTTTATTTTTTTTTTAAGTCTCGTTATTTTATAGGGCATCATTGGTGCAATATATCTTATATGGGACAATATTTATTGTTCAATGACAGGTTCGCTTTAAGTACAGCCTTTCATGTTTAATTGTTTAGTAATAATTTATGACAGTTGAATCATGATTGGTGTCTTATACTTCACCTGGGAGGATGAGGAATATCTAAGCTGTAACAATTGTTATTTGCTATAAAAATGATTACTTTCAACTATAAGAACCGATGAAAGCTTAAAAAGAAAAATCAAGGCTGAAAGTAATGACCCTTGTGGCAAATAGCATGAACTGAGCCTCATATTAACTGACTATTGCTACAAGTATAGAAAGCCCTTTAATCTAAAAAAAAAAAAACCAAAACAGCAAGGACGAAATAAATTTGCTTTGTAGGTGATATAGGTGTCATAGCTAAAGAAATGTGGAGTGAAATGCATCAAATTATTTGAAAAGTAGAAAGTTGTACCGATTTATGTTTCATTTTTTGTTTTGTTTTAGTCCGTACCCAATAAATGTACATTTTAGGCAGCCATGCGGCCAAGTGACAGCATGCATGGCAGACTAACAGCGCTGCTACCTAATTTTAAGGCAGCGGCTTTGCATTGTGAGTCTGCAAGACGTGCTGTTACCGGCAGGATCTCCAGAAAAATACTTTGCATCACATAAAATTATTTGTTCCACACAACTATATACAGTCAGACATGAGGCCAAACACATTGCAAAATAGATTTCAGGTTTCCAAACATTTTAATCATTTTAAATTTCTTTGCACATTTTGTGATATTCGTCAGATTAGGATACCTGCCCAAAGGGGTGTTTAGGTTATAGGCCGGTTCTGTAGATTATTTGGCCCAGGTTTAACAAACAGTTTCTATTATTTTTTTGTAAATTCTCCATGTATTTTCCAACTATACGTTGCATAGGTTAAGGCTCCATGACTCTTTGTAGATTCTCCCAGTCTGTGCTCCTTCCCGACATTCAAGTTGTAAACTCCTCACTTCAATATCGACATGAAAGTGCATCAAAAGTTTTAGCAGTCTAGGAGCGTTTGGCTTCAGCCCCAGTAGACGTGTTTAATGCCTTATTTTTAGAGTTACATTGTAGGCATAGAAGAAAAGAAGTTGTCCAGTCATAAATAATAGGTTTCATCCTCCCACTCCAGTATGCCAGGCATTATAAGAACAGCTGTTTTGTACATGACATGAGCCTCATGTGGTCTGCATTACTGAGTTCATTCCCACCGAATGTTTCTTCCTGCCCATTCCAAAGACATGACGTGTGTCTGAGGTCATAGTCACTGCAGGAAAGCAGGTCTCAGCAGGTCTATTAATGCCAGTGCTTGGGAGTTAAAGGATGAGCAGAAAACCTCTACGGGGCAATCAACTTACTTTTATTTAGCTGGAAGATATAACAAAATTATTCGTAGCACAGAACTTTTCTCTGCAGTAATGATTAAACAGAGCGCATCAGTCATGAATGTGTATGAAAGAAGGACTGGCCTTTCCACAGCAACCTAAATCTTTAATTCATCCATTCATAGGAGACTTAGAAGAGTGAATCGGAGTAGTAGTAACTAGGATGCACAGATACCATGTACCGTACTTGGTACAAGTACAGATACTTTTCCAGTAGACTAGAGAAAAACTCAAAAGTTAGGAGGCTTTTTTAAGGAGCACACGAGCTCCTGGGATTTGTGCATTTATGTTTCAATGTATGATTTGTTATATACATACATACACTGTATATATTAGGGATGCACCGATACCATTTTTCCCAGACCAAGTACCGATACTTGTCCAAGTACTCACAGATACAAGTACTGTTACCTTTTTCTTTAGTGTCATGTGACAGTTTTTCTAAAACAATACAGACTAATGATTTCAGGACAGCGGTGGAGCACCAGGGCCCAGTCGCAGCTGCAACCGCTGCAACCCTGGTAGTTCTCATGAAAATGCCAAGTATCAGCACTGGTATCTGAACATCCCTAGTAGTTACTGACAGAGATCTTCGATCAGAGACTTTTGATCTTGAGGCCCATTGTGTTTTGGGAACATTCTTTAAAGGGCTGTCAACATTGTATTACCTTACACTCAAATTGTGCTGTATCCCTTGCTCATGCCACGCTTGTATATGGCACAGACCTGCCGTAAAGATTCTCTGAGAGTAGTTCAGTGCTATGGTTGTCAGATGTTGTATAGAATGGGCTAAACTCTGTAAAGGAACTTAAGATAAAACAACAAATTTAGCCTATCCTGTTGCTGGATCTGTAGAAGTGTAAATAAACAACTCTAGTTTTTAGCGGAATCTTCGCCTCTTGGGGTAGACTATAGCAAACAATAGTTGGGGTTGGAATAGGATAAAGTAATCATTAAAGGCATTATGCTAATGCGGTCTCTGACACAGCAAAACATTGACCAAACATCTTCAACCCAGCTGATCTACTTCTGATGGAATGTACTAAGTCCTCCAAGCCCCACTGGAAGCCGGTGTGTTGTCCAAACTTGTTAAAAGTCCAAGAAAAATGTTATCCTGTATCTTGAGGAGATGAGTAGGAAATTTATAAGAGCAATATGTTTCTTGATTAAATAGCTGGACAATTTATCTTGTGCTTTCATGTACAGTGCAGTGTAGAATAAAGGGTTGGAAACTCCAGTGTGGAGTCATTAACAATATCACTACTATCAGTGTCATATTTTCTATACGATATCAATTTATTCTTCCCAAGAATATAGTTAAGATCCCCAGCAGAATTATTTTTCTCTCTTTTTTCAGTGCTATTAAAATGGTCTTTGGAATCCGTGATTTACAAAATATTAAAATCTTTTGCCATCTGGAAAAAAAATGTATTTAGCCTTCGAGTAGTCTAATTCCCCCACCACTTAAATGCAGAGGACCAATGTGCAGGCCTTCACACCTAACTCAGCTAGGTAACCCTTACAACACAATCTGGTTACTCACCTTATTTCATTCCCAGGTTTATGGCTGACTGTGTCCATAGAAAGTTCATAATGCTGAGGCACAGAGAAGTTAATACCATGATGGCTACGTCTATGATCAAGGTTGTTTACAGTGCAGAGGTGGAACTGAAACAACCACATGATTTTGGTGCCTAGTTAATGGGGGAACAGAGTAAAGAAGATTGTTAGGTAGTCCTTTTGTTACATTGTACCAAATCTGACCAGTAAATTCATACATTGTCTGTAATAAGGATCCATCAGTCAATAACTTTAGCCCTTTTTCAAAATATGTGAACATTTGAAATGGATTATACCAACCCAATAGATAATGTA